TATTTGTAATTCACATTTAATTTAATCCTTGCTCTTATATAAACTTAATTTTGACAAAGAAAACATTATCATATGGAAAGTGATCCCTACACAACACATATATAAATGAGATGAGTAGAATGCAACCACATGACCAAGCTTTTATTAACTATATAAGTAATAGCGGTACTCTAAAACCATACTGAAGATCGACCACGTCCCACATTTGCTGTCCAAATTGGGTTATTTTGCTTGCCCCTACCATAATTGATGGCTTTATGGAGAATGATTGATGGAGTGGGATTTGAACTTGATATATCACGAACCAACATTATACATATTAGAGGATAAACGAGGGCACAAAAGGACGTAAAGTGGTGTTGCTTTTCCATTAGTCATACCCATGCTTTCAGTCATATCAACAGGTTCGTTTGATGGTTTTTGGAGCACAAACTGTTGTATCAAACTAGCTAGCGTTAAACCCAAAGCCTGCAGGGAAAATAAAACACCAGGGCACATTCTTCTACCACTACCAAAAGGAATCAATTCATAATGGTTTCCCTTGACATCCATATCCTTGTTACTTGTCAAGAATCTCTCAGGCTTAAATTCTTCATGATCTGACCATATATTTGGGTCACGTTGCATCTTCCAAAGATTTACCAAAAGACGAGTTCCTTTTGGAATGTTGTAGCCACCCACAATGCTATCCTCCAGTGACTCGTGAGGAACAGAGAGAGGTCCAGCTGGGTATAAACGCAAAGTTTCTTTGATGATAGCATCGAGGTAGACTAACTTCTTTAGGTCTGACTCCTCCACCTCTCTCTCCCTTCCAACATGCTCATCAATTTCATCTTGGGCAGTTTTTAATGCTTTTGGGTTGTTGAGTAACAATGCTACAGCCCACGTTAATGTCACGGATGTCGTGTCGACGCCTGCTACTAAGAGTTGCTGTGAAAAGAAATTTACACCAAACGTAGGATTAGGTTATAGCTAGGTAAAAGTTAAGCTGAGAAAAATATTTAAATGAATCATGAAAAAATGAGATAAAAAGCTTGACTTTACTAGACTTGTCGCTTTGATAATTGTATCATGGTCAAAACCCGGGAATTCATCTTCAGAAGCACCTTGAAGAATGGAAATTAGCACATGCATGAAGTCTTGGTTCCCTTCATGTTGCTGTATAGACTTATTTTTATTTTCCTGTTTGTGCTCCTTTAACCATCGGTCAAAGATATTGTCCAAATCCTTCCCAGTATTCTTCATCACTTTTTTGTATCCATCCACATCCAAATAGTTGAGATAAGGTATAAAATCAGCAACCACAAATGCCCCCATTAACTCAAAGAATTTCCTTACCACAGCCTGAAATTGAACCCCTTCTTCGTCATTTGGCGAAAACCTCTTTCCTGTAATGATCCTAACCATAATGTTTAGAATCAAGTACCCAAACCATCGACCCATCTCCACCTTCACCATATCTGAATTTTCACTACGTTTGTTCTTTAACCAACAATCATATAAATCTTTAATGGATGCTCTAACTTCTGAAGCTCGAATATGTCCAACCATCTCAACTCTTCGTTGAGAAAGAACCTCCGACACGACCATCTTACGCATATTTCGCCAATAGTCCCCATATGGAGCCAGGCCAAACACGGCATAATTATAGGCCATGATTCTTGTTGCCTCTGTTTTAGGTCGACTTGCAAAGGCCTTGTCGTTGGTAGTAAAGCAGTCCTTAGCAATCGCTGCATCACTTACCACCAAAGCTTGATGAACACCAAGCTTGATGGAGAAGATAGGGCCATGTTTTTCTGCCATGTCACCTAAAACCTTGTGAGGTAGCTCAGGTCCGCCTAAAAGGTGTAAGTGTCCGATTATCGGCCATGCCCCTTTTGCTTGTGGTGGTTTTTGGTTCTTCCCTGTCTTTACCCTCTTTCTGTGGAGGATATGGAGTAATAAACGGTGTAGAAGAATAGATAATATCGTTGCAATAATCGTTGATAGTAGAAGGGAGAACTCCATGGCTGAGTGAACAAATTGGATGTGTGATTGTTTTTATTTGCGAACCTAAAATGCTAAGATAATGTTTTTGTAACCGGTAGATAATATATTTTCTTTCCCATCATTATGGCGGTCCTTAAATGATGAGAACCCGTTTATTGAAAAAATGGCATACTGAAATTGGATTTATGTCATGCTGGCATTAAACAAGGACAAATGTCAACGAAACAATAAAGTGGTTCCTATATATACTTTATATTATGAGAAATGTTCTAGTTTCCTTCCTACATGTCTATGTCTATATGTGAAATAATTGCAAATATATTAAAATATCATTAATCTTATCTAAATATAACATATGTTATCATTTTATATGGGTAAAAAGATAAATATAAAAAAAAATAGAAAAATATTTAATTTCTCTCGTGTGTATATATATATATATATATATATATATATAAGTTCAAATAAAAACAAAGATTATTATGAGAACATAAAAACGTTTTTCAGCTAATCATTTTATCTATTTAATTTTATATTAAAAAAATAATAAAAAGGCATTCATGGTATTTTACGTATGTCATTAATATAGTAGAATTAATTAATCCTATATTTTTGGAAATTAGTTTTTATCTCTCCAATTAGGCTGCCATTTTTATGCATTTTTTGAGATCTGATTAACGCTTTCTTATGTGTGCAACTTTCGGTCATTGCTGCTCTCTCCTACACTCGCACAAGAAATCGATCCCATTGCCGATGTCATGATCGATCAAGGCATCGAAAAGTATGTTTTTCTCTTTTATGTTTTGATAATCTTCATTTTATGTTCTCTTTTTTCCGATCTTGCTTCACGAAACCAGAACCCTAATTCTATGTATTTTCATCACAAACTGATTGATTTCAATGATGATTACAAGTTGTTTGCGTTTTTTGGAAACAAGAGGGATCATCGGGGTTTGGTCTAATACGCGGTTGGTGTAGGGAGTTGTGTATTTAGGTCACGATAATGGCAAAAAGAATGGTTGATGATGGATACTTGATGGTCACCAATTGAAAGTGACAACAAATTTTGCAGCAAGTTCAATCGGTTTTTCCGACAACGGAATTGATAAACATGCAGAAAACCATTAAAGCAATTGTGTGGTAAGAACTTTTCTTTCTTACTAGATGACAACCTTTCTTTCAACAGATGCAGTTCCATTTTAATACTTGTTGCTTCTTCTTTTTTCTTATGTGCTTTACTGTCTAATTCTAACGATGACAATTATTATCTAAGAAACTAAGTATTGACCTTTCTTTTTTACTTTTTAATACAGAGGAAAATGTTTAGAGATAAAACTTTTCTGACATGAACTTTTTAGTCCCACTTGATGTAAAAACACAACTTTGTTATCCTTTGCAAATTAATAACCATGCTACTTGAATTACGTTTCTCCAACTATTTCTTGTAGACTTTTCTTGATTTTCTAAGGTTTTCCTAAAGGAACATGCAATAATTCTTGTATCAATGTTACTTTTTTTCCACTATTAGAAATTTCCTTTTGGATTTAGACTTTCTATTAAATATTTGTATGCATGAATTTAATCATCAGCAAAATGGTATTTGAAATTCTATTTTGAATTTAAAAAGCTTAAATTTAATCTTCAACAAGTTGTTATTACAATTCGGTTTTGAATTTAAAAAGTTAGCTGCCATATTAGTATTCTATTATGAATTTATGTTTGAATAACTCCATTTGTATATTAAAATTAATGAATATGTGTTTATTCTATTATGAATTTGTTCCATAAACTCCAATTATTATTTTTTATTTTGTTATTATGTTAGGCATTCAACTTATTATATATATATTTTTTATTTTTTTGTATTTACAGGTTAAAAGAACTCAAAGAAAGAAAATATACAAGGCCAAGAAAAAATCAAATTCAAGACCAAGAACCAAATATATTACCAGAATGCATAGAACTTATAATTTTTTTTTCTTTTGAGTTTGTATGTATACTTTATTGTTGTAAAATTTCACTTTTGTATGTATGTTAATATCTTGTTATGACATTTGTATATAAAGAATTTGTTATGTTCTATTATGAATATGCATTGTTAATTTATATTTGGCAAATATAATATATTCTATATTGAATATTAACTCGAATTTAAGTTATAACTCTTAATATAAAATTTTAGTATTTTTAAAATCTTGAAATTTAAAAAATCTGATATTTTAAATTTCGAAAATTTAAGAATTCCACAAATTTAAGAATTCCACAAATTTCTCTTATGTCCATAATTAATTAATTATCTCAAAATGCAATTACCTTTTTACCCTTATCTATTATTAATCTAGATATTAAGAATATTTTTGAATAATTACCAAAAACAACTTAATTTAAGAAAATGATTGGTTGAGAATTGTTTTCACGTTTTCACATTACACTACAAGAAAAAAGGGTATTAGCAGCGACAAAAATCGCCGCTATTGGTCACCAAAGTCGCCGCTAATACCTTTACCGGCGACACGTCGCCGCTATTGAGTCACCGCTACTGACTCGTCGCTATTGCTCAAAAAGTCGCCCCTAATGCTCACTGTCGCCGCTAATGATATTGTCGCCGCAAATGCTCTAGTCGCCGCTAATTCTCTATGTCGCCGCTAATAGCGTCGCCGCTATTTCCTTTTTTTGTTTATTTATTTTTTAAAATCAGCCATTTTCGGGTGTCCAAAAACTAATACATAATAACGTTAAATTCAGAAAATCCGATACGTTAAATGCAGAAAAATGATTACATAACATCCATGTTTTATAATACTATACATACACCAAAATAAATAACAAAATTCTTATAAATTTATGTCATACTACAATCTCTAATAAAAGATCAAACTAATACGATGTGTCATCATCCCCGCCACCCTCGTGCACTCCTATAAGTTCCACAATAGACTCCGGATCATTGGACATTGATGGAAGATTCTCCAACTACATAGTAAATAACAACATATAAACTTGTAAGTTAAAATATTAACATAAACCAAACCAAAAATTACCAAATGATAAGAAAACTACCAATTACCAATTTATCTATAAATCAACAAACTATAAAATTAACAAACCAACTAACTAACATTAACCTTCCAAGTTAGACTCCGGATCCTATTTGTTTTTTGTTTGTTTTTTCCGTTATGACATTGTAGTTTACACATTGCATACAAATATACTCCAAATTGCATACACATACACACGTACATACATTGTACACATATATACATACTTTTATACACATAAAACAACCATCAACACAATCCAAATTGCATACAAATACACACATACATACATTATACAAATATACTTACTTTTTATACACATACATATATGAAATACACACATATTTCATACACATATATGAAATACACACACATATAACATATTTCACACACATATATGAAATACACACATATATATACAAAATACACACATAAATGCAAACACATACAACAAATTACAAAAAATGCACCTGTGGTCCCCAAAATTTTGCCATCTTTTAACAGGTGGTGGTAGTCTTCGGTGCAACAATGGTGGTGGTGGTGGTGGTGGTGTAACTTAAGACAACAAAAACCAACAAAAAAAACAACTACGTCTGGAATTCTGGTCAAAAGTGAAAGAGAAAGAGAAATGAGGGAAGAGGGAAGAAGGAACATACCGTAGCCGGTGACAGCAACACCCGACAGTAGCCTCGGTCACAGTGGAGGAAAAATCTATGATGAAAATATTTTGTGCAACTAATCACAAATACAAGTAGAAATCGATAACAAAAACACAAACCACAGAGGAAATCGACAGCAATAGTGTCGAAATTAATGTCACAGTGGAATCATTAGAGATGTGGAAGTGGGGAGTTTCCAATGGTCTATAGGCGTCGTTGGTATGTCTTCTAGCCTCCGGGAAACTCGATTGAGCGAAAATGGTCGGAGAGAATGGATAAAAACGCAGACAAATAAAAGTTGTGAAAGCAAAAAGGGGGGGGGGGTTATTTGCGTCGACCTTTAGCGGCGACATCAATAGCGGCGACAATTAGCCTTTAACGGCGACAAAAGCCAATAGCGGCGACAACTAACGAGGGAACTTATGCCGCGTCTTTTTTTTGACCTTTAGCGGCGATAATTTTCGACCTTTAGCGGTGACAAATTGTCGCCGATATTGGTTTTGCGCGAAAACGAGGCCCCAGCCGTTGGATTAGATACTCGATCGTACGGTTGAGGTTTACCAGAAGGGGATAACGCGGATTCGGGCAACAAGGCATTAGCGGCTAATTGTGTCGCCGCTAATGCCTTAGTTTCTTGTAGTGTTATTTAGTGTTTTTATTTGAAC